AAATCACAACTTGGATTAAAAACATAACCCCTGGATGGTGCTGGAAACCCACACAATTAGACAAGGAGAGTGTGGTATTTAAAAAATAAAATCAGAATTTAAAACATAACTAAGCCTTGTGCAAGTGAGATTTGCGGCTGCTCTGGCTCACAGATGAGGTCCCCAGGGGCCTGGCACACCAAACATGCACAGTATGTATTTTTATCAATGAGTATTCTGAAAGATGGGCTTATAGTGGACAACGGAGCTAAAAGTCACCACTGCTGAACAGGAATGGGCCTCCTGGGTGAGCTATGGGCACTTACAGGCTCTGAACACTTCTCTAGTGGAGCACCACCCCCTCTCCCACTCACTCATGCACACACACACACACACACACACACGGGCACGTGCGCACAAAACTCACTTCTTTAGAGAAAAAGGACAGGCCAGGTTACTCATGGTAGTTAAGAGGACCAGAACATCGGAGGTCACCGTGAGAAATGTGAACTGGGGGAGAAGGCAGGGCCTTAAACATGGCCACCTCATTCTCAGATTGAGACTGAGGCTGCTACTGCTCATCTCTGGCTATGTTCATCGTGTGGGTGAAGAGACCGACTCTTAAGAGTCGCAGGAGTGGGCCGGATACTCAGTTCACATCTAGGAATAAAGAGCAGTACAGGAGAGGGCACTCTCCTGTCAGTAGCCTTCTTTCCCTGACTCCAGAGCGCCCATGCCCTGGCGGAGGGTCCTGTTGGCCACCATGAATCATGGCGGGGGTCCTAAGACCAAGCAGAAGGGTTCTGCCACAGAAAAGCTCCGACAAATCCTGCAAACACGCGCACAAGACGGAGCGCAACACCCACTGCAGTCTCTACCGCTCAGCTGTGTAAACAAATAAAACGGTCCATTTCTGCTGGATCCTCTTAGTTGTCTTTGCACACATGTACAAGCACATCACACACACACACACACACACACACACACACACACACTCTTCACATCCTCAAAGAAAAACAACCAAGAGAAGTCTACACAGTTTGTTTTGCTCCATGTAGTTTTTTTCCTAAATCACATCTGACTTAGCACTAAAACACTAACCTTTGGCCAAAATACTCTTAAAACAAAGGCTAAATTGGTTCTGAAGTTAGGCCTTCCGAAAACCAAGGGAAACATCTTCTGTGGGTCCTGACCTTGACGGCAGCGCAGCTCTCGGGTCGGAATAATGATGAGCTGAGAGAGCTGGAAGGGCTCCCTTCGGGAGGCAACTGGCTGGCCTCAGCGCTGCTCTGCGGTCCCCTGCAGGACTTTCCTGCGGGGCAACTACTCCCCAGTCTGCGTCCTGGGCTCAGCCAGCTACAGCCCTCCCAGTTTACCAGGAGTAGTGGGTTCAGTTCGTAGGAGTCAGATCATTGTACTGCCTCCTTTAACATCTCACTCACCCAAAATTCAATGACCACAATTAAAATTCTACATTCAGGCTGGGGACACAGCTCAGTGGCACAGTGCCTGCCTAGCGAGTGCAGGGTCCTGAGTTTGATTTCTGGTACTTGCCCTCCCTCCAAAAAAAATTATGTTCAGATCTCTCAAAAGGTCAGTGTAAAAGTAAACATGCACTTGCTTCTTACCTCTCCAAGTCCACTCCTATTGTATAAACAACAGAAATGGAAACACACATTCCCCAAAAGATATGTCTGAGAACGCTCATAGTTTTATTCTTGGCAACAAAATACTGGAAACAATCCACAGAGCTGACAACATGAAGAAATAAATGCACTGGGGCATATTTTAATATGCCACATATTTCACATGTGGAATACTACACGGCAAAGAAAAGGAACAAGCTGTTGCCACCCCTGCTAACATGAACGCAACTCATTGATGTAACCCTGAGTAGGCATAAACATGAACCAGTACATTCTGTGTGATTCTACTTACATGAAACCCAAATGAAGGCAAAGCTAAGCCACTGTGAGAATTCTCATTGGAAGGAGAAGGAGGAAGAGAGGGGAATAAGGGAGACTTCCGGGGAGCCCATACCAGAGGTCAGCAAACTGAAGCCCTTGGGGCCAGAGCCAGCCAGTTTGTTTTCACCAATAAAATTTTACTGGCACAAAGCCACGTTTACTCCTTTGGGCTCACCTTTGGCTAGCTCTGAACCACGATCGCAAGCATGAAGAGCTGCAATACAGACAGCACGGCTCCAAACGCTGAACACATTTGTTATTTCGCCCTCTACAGAAAAGATGTGCCAACCCCAATCTATATATCGATCTGGTGACAGTCGCATGGATGGACACGTATGTCAAAGTTCATCTGCTTTTCTCCTGGAGCCCTGCGCACTGTGCTGGGTTTAAATCATACTGCAATGACACCTGCAAAACATCAAGCACCGGGGCGGGGGGCACCTGAAGGCAGAGCCCAAACTTAGCAAGCAAGAGGCCTTGGGTTCAGTCACCAGCCCCAGAATTAAGTCCCTACATCTTTCTTTACAGTTCTCTCCACTTCCACCGCAGGTACATCTGTGCCATTCACTTGGGGAGAATGCCCCTCTACACAGCCCTTGTCTTCTCAGAACTGCAAAGAGCTAGGAGACAGTCAAAGTGGGAGAGATCACAGCCCAGCAACTGCCACTGGGCCCACGTGTTAAAGAGCGCGTCAACATACCCACAGAGCTTCTCAGGGGCCATGAGTGGAAACAGGGAGCTTGGCAGCGTCCTGGGATGACAGGAGAGATGGGACAGGAAGAGGGTAGGAACCTCACGTGATGTGCGGTGTCATACTACTCGAAGTTATTTTAGGATCTTAGGAGAGCAACATGTCAGCTCAGCTCCGACTGAAATGCAGCGCTTATTAAACAGTTCTAAATTTCTAACAATTGGGTTGCAGCTAAACCTGGACTAGAAACCCGGTGAAGGGAGAAGCCTGCCCTGCGCACCAGAGGGCTCACTCGCTCTGCACGGCACCCGTGAGCCGTCCAGGTTACCTGGAGAACACTTGCGTTTTGTCTGAGCTTTCCCCTTTTTTCCCTTTGCTTCTTTTGTTTTCAGCCATTTATCCTTTGATGATCACAATAAAATTACAGCTAGATGCCATTTGGCTTGGCCTCGTGCTGGCCCAGCAGACACTGAGGGAAAATGAACGCTGAAAGCATCGTGCTGGGTCTCTAAGAAAACGACTTTCTGTTTGCCCACATGGGCATCAGGCCTCAGCAAACAGAGGCGGGCAGAACAATGGTACCTGTTCATGAGGCATAGTGATGGCTTCAGTCCTCCAAAACAATGAGCTCTGTAATTTACTCCATCTTCCTCCTGAGAAAGAGCTTCACATGGCCTGCACCGTGCCAGGTGGTTTGGAGAAGGACGAACTGCTCGGCCAAACAAGGGGCACTTCAACTCCGGGCGTAAAGATTCAACAGCTGCTCTGGTCTGCACTGGTCTCCCAGTGACAAGGCCCCAACCAGCCTTTCCACACGGAGATAAGGATCGTTCTCCTATTCAGCCTCAACAATTCCCACACCCCAGGCCACAGGATTTTCCAGCACTCCCCAAGATAGAGTGCACCTCAGGGCAGTGCGTGCTCCTCCCGCTCACCCAGCCAGAATCAAGGCTAAGCCCATCCTCTACCCAGCCCTGCCCCAGACCTTGCTCTGAGGCTTACTAGGCCTTCCTCAAAAGGAAGGAGGGCCCACCAGGAAGTGTGTTAGCAAGAGCCACTTGGCTTCAAGCTGAGGACACCCCCGCCCGAAGACACCTGGGGTGGAGGGGTAAAACCAACAGTGGCACTTTCCCCCGAAATATGTACAAGGCACAGCTGCAGAAGTAATCAAAATACATTTTAAACCAAGTTACTGTAGCCTTGAAATAAGCACAAAAAGGCTAGGAATCCACCAAATAGAAATGTCTGCTGACTCATATTCTTCATCGGTGGAAGAGTTCCATTTACCTGGGGCAAGTGACTATTTCAAAGCTTCTTCCGGAAGATATACAGATTTTAAATGGCCAGGCTACAAAGATGCAAGGCTGCAAGAGCTGCCCAACACCACATGCGCACACGCACACGCACGCACGCGTGCACACGCACGCGCACACACAGATAACAAAGGCTCTCCACATGAAAGAACAGTGACTGAACATGGCCGAGCCGCCTAAGTAACACCAGCCTACAGGAACAGAAGAACCCGGAGCCAGCATTCCACGCAACAGAAGGTTTCGAAAGCTCCCCTTCCAAGAGTTAGGCCAGAACACTCCAGAAGTTCTGGTACCATCAGTTACTCTGAGAGTACAACTATCCTCGCAAGGCCAGGCAGACAGATGAAAATCGTATTAGTCTGATCTCCCTCCACTACTGCTCTCTATTGGCTTCGGTTCAGCCCTGAGTCTATATTAGTCTGTGATTTGTTTAGCCTTTGGATCTAAGAGAATAGAAGTACTACGTGAGCAGGAAGCAGGGCCCTCATCAGAAGCCGGGATCTGTCACCTCTCCCGTCCAGTGCTGTCAGTGTCATATATCAACTGGCCCAGGAGAAATCAACATTTCAGGACAACCAGGTCAAAAGTGATATTCTTAGCGGCACTTAATGTGATTCTGATCCCCCGGAAACAGCCCTCTCTAGCTGTCACAGGGCCTCCTCTCCCACCTGCCCCTGAATTCTTCCTGTTCAGTGTGTCACTCCATTTTACTCCCAAATCAAGACCCTCCCCCAAGCAAAAAGCAACTGCCAGGCTGGGGTCTGGGAGTCCATGTGGCCAATCAAGAGACTCTTAACAATAAACACTGCCTTCGCTTTCTTTCCTTCTTTAAATCAACGCAGCAGCATTTCTTCTGCTTTTTTGCTTGCCACCTCCCCCTCCATGATGCCACCACCGCCACCGCCACCACGTCACCATCATCAGTGTCAGCAGCATCATCACTTGCATCATCACCACCATCATCATTCAGGTAGGGAGCGGCAAAGAAGAGAAAGCACAGGAGACCTACACATCGACAATTCCAGCTTCAGAGTCTCTTGCGTTTCCTACCTGAAGCGCAATCTGGTGTTCAATCGTTTTGTACGCAGAATAATGTGTGGTGCCGGACTGAAAATGGAGCTGTAGAAAGAAACCAAATCAAAGCGTTCTGCTTATGTCACAAACTACAAGAAAACATCTTAAGCAGTTTATGAATAGCAGACAAACCTTCTTAGATAAAACTGAACGCCTTGGCATTCACTCAAGACTTGTGTACTTTTATTTGTTGCTATGGATAAAATGATCACACTAAAGTTTTTTTTTAATCTATTTAATAAGCAGAAGGGGGAGGGGCAGGAATGCGAATCAATGACAAGAGAAAGAAAGACTGAAGCCCATTAAAACATAAAGGAAGCCACTGTGCTGAGCAGAAGACAGAGGAAAATGAACACTGCTGTAAAAAGTCATCAGAATAGCAACACGTAGGCGAAAGTGAAGTTTACGAAAGGATTGCGAAGCCACAAGACTGCCACAAGCATAAGCCCCTTCCCCACTATTTCTCATCTGTGGGCCCTGGCTCGCCAACATACTTCTGTTTCTGGGTAAACAAGTGTGTTGGGCAGAATTCAGGGGCCACCCGAATTCAGGGGCCACCCAATGCCTTGTGCATTCCTCCACAATGACTAAGCAGACGCCCGGAGTGTCTCTGCAAGCCTGCACTCTAGCAATGCACACTTCCCCAAAGTGGGAGCAGCACAGGGCCTGACAGCCAGCAGTATGCGAATGGCCACGTCCTGGTAAGTCCTGGCTTCCTCGGGCCTTCTGGGGCCCTCCATGGTGAAGGCCTGTGTCCACTCTGCCTTCCCCTCTGCAGCCCTGCAGACCACCCACCACATAAGGGAGGACCCTAAAACAAAAAGGAACACCAAGATTCCCCAGCAAAATTTCATTTCCCCAAGTAACACTTGCTAATCTTGGGATCCTACCAACTGGAAAAACAAACACCATCTGCTAATTTATTTTATAAACACCACCATCATCACTGAAGGACCACTGTGGTTATCCGAAAACTCACTTTGACTTGCTATATGCAAGCAGATCACGAGGAATCAGACGATGCTGGGAAATCCCTGCCCACCCGCTCCCTGGTCGCAACAGGCAAAGTCACCGCCTCCCCAGACACTGAACTATGCTACCACGAAGTATTGCTGCCACTGCACCGATGCCATTACTGGCATTAAACCATTTCTGTGTGACCGGAACAAAGCCTAATTGGCGCTGCAAATGAGTTTTAGACCCAGGTAAATTGCATCTTGGTCCCTAGAAGAAAAAAAATCATTCTGCTCACTGTTTGTTTTTACTACAAAAAAGAAAAATTTAAAAATTCACATAAGAACTTTTGAGCTGACTCAAAATATACAAAACTTAGTTGCTATCAAATAAAAAGCAGTCAAAATCACTCCTGCTTGCGGGGTAAGGTTGAAGTGTCCACTTTAGAATGTTGTGGACTGAGATAATTTTCTGTTTTATGTGTGTGCGCCAAAAAGATTAATAAGAGGCACAATGAAGGTGGGCAGAGAGGGACAGAAAACCAATACCTGCCAAGGGCGAGCAATGAACCACCCCCCCAACATGGTCAGCCAGCAGCAGAAGAGCAGCCCCCATGCCCACAGCCAGTCCAGTCCACGCGAGTTTCTGAGAAAGATGAATTTGCACCCTTTGTCCCCCTGCCCTTTTTGTAAAAGCTGCCAGTCAATATGCGGAGATTGCACTAATTACTGCGACAATCTTGCATCATGTTAAAACAACTTTTGTGCCTGGGACAGGTCTCTCTGCGAGTTTGGAATTCCTGCCCAGAAAGCAGCCTGTCTGAGAAGAAGCTCTTCGGAGCAGAGGGAGCGAGCGGAGCAAGCAACACTAACAACTTGTCCCTCTTTTCAGCCGGTTTTATTCTCTTCTTTTCCAATTGCCTGATGCAGAGCTTAATGGAAACTTGTCCAAGCTTTTCTTCCCATAAGCCCTGCGGGAGCCCTAGGCAATCTGTACTCAGGGTAACCACAGGAATCTTATGTTGTCAATTAAAATTGAATGGACACCTGATAACTAAGGATATGTCGTGGAAAATAATTTCATATCGTCACAGTCTTATGAATAAATTAATGAAACTGTGGCGAAGCCAAATTCAATTTTCACTTGTCCAGTTCTGTTCTTAATCCTCCCTTCATCACCACCCAAATAACACTAACAATGCTGGAGAGAATGCTGCAATTAAACAGCAAAAATGCAGCTGCACGCTCCTTCCGATCTGAGCAGAGAATCCAGGACAGTGTTAATTTTAATCTTCCATTAAACACACACACACACACACACACACACACACACACACACACCCCTTACACCCCCAGTCATGTCAGCCAGGTAATCCTGCAGGAGTCCAGTGACACAGAGAACTTCCCACCCCCTCATGCCCTGCCCCCACAGCGCACTCTGTCTGAGTCACATCTCCACTCCCAGCCAGTGCCACTGTACAGCACAGATTTCTAAGCTACCAGACCTCCAATTACAGTGACAAGAACGTAACATTTTCTCATTTCTCCTTTTGGTTTCAACCCCCCTCCCAGAGATATTCTTCGGAGATGCACGTCTTACACTGCGTTTGCCTTCCCTGTGAGACACAAGGTTGTCTTGTTTTAGGCCAGCTTTTTAAGAGAAAGATAAAATACAAATACCCAGTAAAACTTTGGCACTGGAAATGGGGACAATCATTTCTCTCTCTCTAGAAGCTACGAGGAAGGCAAGAGTGAAGGATGCTTGACCTGTGTGTGTGGGAGAGGACAGTGGAGTCAGTGACCCGGTGCCCACAGGCCTCACCTCCTAGACTGCCCATGCGGGCCACCTGCAGCCCTCCACCTCCCTTCCAGGTCCAGCAACTGTGGCTGCTCTAACCTGTGCCTCTCTACCTGGAGCAAACTCAGCAAAATCCCGTTCCCTTCCTGGGAGCTCATTCACAGCAGCCCAGCCTGCTCCACACTTTAGCACGCCACCACCCAGGCTCCACTGGTCCAGAGAAAGAACCAGAAGACCTGGCAACTCTCCGTACTCACAACATGAGCTGCCCCCCAATGCCACATCCCAGGTTCTCTCATTTTATTCCTAATTTTCACTGCTGGCTCCAAACTTGCTGTTTCAGATACAGAACATCAGAGATAACCCAGAGATGGGAGGAGGAGGGAGTAGCTCTTTTCAACCACAAGAATATCATCCTTTGAAACAACCTCCCACCAAAAAATTTGTGAAGACTTACGCTGGTTTTTCCAACACTGTTAACTTTCTTCCAGTGGGATAAAGATTAATTTCTCATGCCTATTGATTCCACTAAATTGACATGAAATGGAGCTTTCCTTTTAGGTTTATGAATCACGTCTTTTTTTTCAGGTATTACAAAATCACATTCATTTCCTACAAAGTTTTGGTTTTCTTGGACTTTTCTTAATCCACTTTCTTCTCTAACCTATGTGGACCACTTCAAGTCGAATTTTCATGTCACTGCTCACAAGACAAAACATCTTTTAACTATACCCAAGACCTTCTCCCAGGTAACTGTCACCTTGAGGGACCAACGTAGCAGATCCACAAGCCATTTGTACACAACCCTCCCTACCCCATTCCAGGATGACAGGCTTTTCCATTTTATGGGACATAAGTTTCTGACCAGGACTTTGGTGTTACATACTGCCTACTATTACAAAAAGTACCAGAGACTCTAACTTCAACAAAGAAGGCAAAACCATGGTAATTAATAAGTCCTTCGGTCTAAACATTCTTGCAAAGACCTAGAGAAGAACATCTGGAGCATCCTGAACCAACCAGCTAACAATGGCACTGCCTTTTCACATCCTGACATTCTCCTCCAGAAATCCTGCTGCAACAAAATGCAAGCCTTCAGACACAAGAACAATCTCTCCTACTGTCTGAGTGTTCCATCAAATGTCTATTTACCCTCATTAATTTTTTTTTTCTTTCCTTCAACCTGAAACCATCAACTATGAGTCAGAGAACGATCATTAACTTTTATAGCCTCCACACATATCCACCTCCTCACATTGGGGAAAGAAGTATTGACTTGCAACATTGCCTAAGACCAAAATCCTCTAAGAAGAAAAAAAGAAGGAGAAAAAAAACACTTCAAGAAAGTTTTATCCACAGGTCTGCGGGGGATGTTGCACTCAATTGTTCTTCTACTTCGTGCTGCCAAAAGACAGAAAGCTGGGGTTGAACTTGGTGATGGCAGTGGGCATTTCTGGGATGGTTTCTGAGAAAAATTAGATGGTTTCTTCAAACATCAAAACACAATGGACATCCTTCAACTGGGAGGAAAAAAGTGAATTAAGTTTCCTGCTCATGTAGAAAACACATTTCGAGCCTCTACAAACACGTGGGCTGCAGTGCCGAGACGTGTTCTTAACGCAGTATTTTTCATTAAAAGTTGCTACACTAACACCCTTCAAATGATGCCCCATTACTCCACTTAGCAGGCACAGCGCTGCCACTCATAACGAATTAATTTGCATTAATGTGGGTTTCATGTGTCCTTCCCTGGGTATGCCATTGTGATTCAGGCTCAATAAAACTGACATGACAATAACACAGTGCCTTTTATTTAACTTTCCAAAACAAACCGACCCACCCAAAGACCCACACACATCCTTTCCATTTTTTAAGCATTTTACTAATATATTTAGTACATCATAATTGGCCCAGCACGCAGGCATCTAGTTATCTTCTCAGTAAATATTTATAGCATCATTCTTTCCCATTCATTCTGCATTTTCTTAGAGAATCGCACTGTAGCCTACATCTGCAATTCATTGACTTTACAATTTACCACATGTTGGGATGGGAGAGGTCTTAGCTCCATTTGAATCACTACACAAATATGCAAGTGATTTATTGGTTTCAAACTGAAGACTGCAAGAAAAGGACTACACTTTTCCTCAACAGTACTTCTGGCCGACCATGAACAATTACAGTTCGTACTAATTAAGCTCTGTAAATGTGCTGTGCCCTGCTAATGCCTACCAGGCCTCACATTTATTTTCACGATGCCAAACTTCAGTGAGCAAGGTTAACTCCTT